CCATGGCGCTGGGCTACTGGCGCGCCGGCCGGGCGCAGGAGGCGGCCGAGTTCGAACTCTTCTTCCGCCGCTGCCCGTTCGGCGGAGCCTTCGCCCTGGCCGCGGGGCTGCGCGACTGCGTGCGTTTCGTGCGCGCCTTCCGCCTGACGGACGCAGGTAGCCGCCCCCCGGCCCCCCCCCCGGCAGCCCCCCGCCCCCGGCAGCCCCGGCGAGCCCTCGCCACCACGGCCTCTGTCGCCCCCAGACGTGCAGTTCCTGGCCTCGGTGCTGCCCCCAGACACAGACCCCGCGTTCTTCCAGCATCTTCGTGCCCTCGACTGCTCCGGGGTGACGGTGCGGGCCCTGCCCGAGGGCTCCCTCGCCTTCCCCAGCGTGAGTGCCGGGGGAGCGGGGCACGGGGGGTGGGCCAGAGCAGGGCCGGGTGGCGACGAGCTGACAGCCCGCCCCGCAGGTGCCGCTGCTGCAGGTGTCCGGGCCGCTCCTGGTGGTGCAGCTGCTGGAGACGCCGCTCCTCTGCCTGGTCAGCTACGCCAGGTGGGGCCCGGGGCGCCAGGTGGGGCCTGGGGCGGGACACCCGCCTCCCGCCCGGGGCCGGAAGCCTGGGCTCTCCGGGAAGGAGCGCTGACTTCCGGGCCCGGACCCGTGGGGCGTGGCCCCTGGGGGCGGAGCGCTGAGCCGGGGTCCTGGCAGGGGCCTCCGGCTCCCGCTGCTCGGGTCCTCGGGAGAGGCAGCGCTCTGGGTGGCTTCCCGGCCGTCACTGCGGGTCCCCTGCCCCCTTGCTCCCGCAGCCTCGTCGCCACGAACGCCGCGCGGCTTCGCCTGATCGCAGGGCCGGAGAAGCGGCTGCTGGAGCTGGGGCTTCGGCGGGCTCAGGGCCCCGACGGGGGTCTTACCGCCTCTACCTACAGCTACCTGGGCGGTGAGGGCCAGGAGACGGAGGCCTGGTTTGGGGGAGGAGGAGGCCAGCCCTGAGAATCCCCTTCAGTGCCTGAAGTCCCCCAACTTTGCCTGATGCCCTGACCCCAGGCTTCGATGGCAGCAGCAACATGCTCGCAGGACAGCTGCGGGGCGTGCCGGTGGCCGGGACCCTGGCGCACTCCTTCATCACCTCCTTTTCAGGCACCGAGGTGCCCCCTGACCCGGTCAGTACCCCTGTCCCCCCAGCTGGACTCCAGAGGGCAGACCCCCCAAGCCGAGCCCTTCCCAGGGAGCAGGAGAGGCCAGTCCCTGCTCTGTGCACAGGCAGATACCACGCCTGGCCCACCCAAGCCACGCCAGGCAGGTGGTCTCAGTGCGGCACTGGGAAGCTGGCAGGCAGGTGGCTCAGACTCTCTGCTGGGGTTGAACCAGTCCCCACCCTGCGCTCTGGGTCCTCCATCCTTCACCAACTCTTCTCCATAGATGTTGGCTCCAGCGGCTGGTCAGGGCCCCAGGGTGGACCTGGCCGCCTGCGTGGAGACGTGGCTGGAGCGTGTGTGTGGCCACCTGGGGCTGGGGGTGCAGGAGCCACACCGGGGTGAGCGGGCGGCCTTTGTGGCCTATGCCCTGGCCTTTCCCCGGGCCTTCCAGGGCCTGCTGGACACCTACAGTGTGCGGAGGTGAGGCCCGGGCATCCCCCAGGGTGGGCTCAGCAGAGCAGCAGCAGACCCCCTACTCCCATGTCCCCACCTGCAGGAGTGGTCTCCCCAACTTCCTGGCTGTAGCCCTGGCACTGGAGGAGCTGGGCTACCAGGCAGTGGGAGTCAGGCTGGACAGTGGCGACCTGCTTCAGCAGGCTCAGGAGACGCGTGGCGTCTTCCGAACAGTGGCGGCCCAGTGAGTCCCCCTGGGAGGGGCTTTGCCTTCTGAGAGATCCCCTCCGGTTCAGGAATATTGGGATGGGACAGAGGGAGGGAGGGACCGTGCCTCTCCCACCGTGAGGCTCTCTGATACGCTGCTACCTCAGTAGAGGTACTGCAGCCTTGGCAAAGAAGCTGGGGTGGGCTCGCTCAGGGGCCCATAGAGCCAGTGTGGCTGAGGGCAGATTATCAGGTGGCGGGGAGACGGCATGACTGGGTTGGGAGGGGGCCGGGTGAGTCAGGGGCGTCTGAGGGCTGCCCCCATCACAGGTTCCGGGTGCCCTGGCTGGAGTCCATCCCCATTGCTGTCAGCAACAACATTGATGAGCAGGAGCTGGCCAGGCTGTCCCAGAAGGTAGGCGGGGCAGGGGCAGCCCAGAGGGTGGCTCGGCGGGCCCTGGGCCTGCAGATGCTGGCCGAGCTCATTTCCCCTCCCCCCCAGGGCAGTGAGGTGAACGTCATCGGCATCGGTACTAGCGTGGTCACCTGCCCCCGCCAGCCTTCCCTGGGCTGTGTCTACAAGGTGGAGAGAGTCCGGGGCCCAGTGGGGATGGGCTGGGGATGGACCATGGGTCCGGGGAGAAGGGTCCAGCTAGCTCAGCACCCTGTCCCTGTAGCTGGTGTCCGTGGGAGGCCAGCCGCGGATGAAGCTGACCGAGGACCCCGAGAAGCAGACATTGCCTGGAAGCAAGGCTGCCTTCCGGCTCCTGGGCTCCGATGGTGAGGCCCCGCCCACCCTCCGCAGTTGAGCTCAAGGCCCCAGGCCCCGTGCATGCTTGGCGCCCTCACATGCGCACCCACGCAGGGGCTCTGCTGTTAGACGTGCTGCAGTTAGCAGAGGAGCCACCTCCCCAGGCTGGCCAGGAGCTCAGAGTCTGGCCTCGAGGGACCCAGGAGTCCTGTACCGTGAGGCCGGTGCACGTGGAGCCGCTGCTGCGACTCTGGGTCCAGCAGGGACAGGTGACCGCCCCTAGCCACCCACCCCCTTAGCCTGCACCTTCAACTCAAATCAAGCTCGGACACCTGACCTCGAGCCAGCCCCTTCCTCCCTCTTCCCCCCAGCTGTGTGAGCCCCTCCCATCTCTGGCCGAATCTAGAGCCTTCGCCCAGCAGTCCCTGAGCCGTCTGAGTCCTGCCCACAGGTGGCTCGAGCAGCCTGCGCTGTACCAGGTGGGTGTAGGGCCCACATCATCAACCCGCCCTGTGCCTTCTCTCCCCCCACGGCCACCCATGGTCCCCCCCTCTCCTCCCTGCAGGTGGCGCTGTCTGAGAAGCTCCGGGCCCTGGTGGACAGACTGAGTGCAGAGGTGCCCTCTGAGAATCCCCTGCTGGGAGCTGCCTGAAATGAACATGAGTCACTCACTATCCCCACAGCTTGTCATGTGTCATTTCTTCACCCAGCCTGCCACTCACTGGACCCCCAGGGCTTCCCAGGGTGGGCTGGAGTCAGGAATCAGCATGAGGGTTCATCCTCCCAGGGAAGACCCCAGCCCAGCCAGGGCAGGTAGGCAGCCCCGTGCTGAGGCCTGAGGTCGGCTAAGGCCGGTGGGGTGGGGGTCGGTATCTGAGGCCTGGGGAGCTGGACTGTAGGAGCAGATCCGGGCAGGACAGGGCAGGGCTGTGGGGAAAGGGAGGGGGCTTTGGTGCCCAACTAGGAGCTGGGGGGGTTGGTTACTGGAAGACCACTCCATGCTAGAGGCCCGAGGCGGGCTGGGGATCCAGCCCAGATGGGGGGGCTCCGGGATGCCCCCCGGGCGGGGCAGGCTCGGTGGACGCCTCAAGCTTCCCCAGCCAAGGAGAGGCCTGGGTGTCCCCTGCCACTGCTGCTGCCAGCTCTGTGGGACCCTGTACCCCTGGGCCCCACCCATGTGGCTCCCTGTCGGCCCTGGCATCTGTCACGGCACGGACTAGGCCTGGGCCTTGGGGACCCAGCTCCCGCCCCTGCAGTCCTGGGAAAGGAGAGGAGGGCTCGGGGCCTGCCTGCACTAGAGCTGGTGGAGGTGAGGGAGCAGGGACTGGCTCAGCTCTGGGCACCTGGCCAGGGTCCTGGGCTGGCCCTGCCCCTGTGCGAGCAGGCTCGTCGGGTCTCCACCGGCTTTGCCTCCGGAGGAGCCACTCAGGAGAGGTTGGAGGCCCTGCGGGACAGAGGGTGGGGCCTGGGCTTCTCCCACCTGGGCGGGGGACAGAAGCAGGCCAGGACGAGGGGGAGTGCCGACTGTCCAGGGTGCTTCCCGGAGCACTTCTGCCTGCCCAGGTATTTGGCCAGACCAGCTCTTCTGGCTCCCCTGGACCAGGCTGGGCAGTGGCCGCTGCGCTGCTGGGTGAGGGCGACAGCGGGGATTTGGGGCAGAGGCCCGGTCAGGCCAGCCCTGGGGAGCAGGAGGCTCGGAGAGAGACACAGACTCCGCCCGCCACCGCCACACACACATCAGGACACGCACCAGGCCCCAGGTACCCACAGGTCACCACTTCTGAGCTTTACACTTCCTCAGTGCCAGGACCCAGACACTCCCCCACCCACCCACCGTGATCCATCCAGTGATGTCAGTCACCTGCAAGGGCACCTGGGAGGCACAGGGCAGCTCCTCTTGCTTCCGGCTCCCCCCCAGGGCTGCTCCAAATCATCCCCATGCCCGGGATGTCCGGCCGGGTCAGGATGCAGAGAGGAGAGCCCAGCCCCCGGCCGCAAGCGCAGCCTGGACCTGACTGCTTCTTTAGGGCTGAATCAGGCGAGGCCTCAGCTCAGGGCTGGGCCCAGACTTCTAAAACGTGCTGGGGCCTCCTCAGAGCTGTCTACACCTGCCCAGGATTCCTTGCCCAGACGGGTCGGAAGTCAGGGTCAGGGACCGTTCCCCCCCCCCCTTGCAGATCCACTGTCTCCCAGGGACCTTGCCCTTTTCCCAGGTCCTGGTGGGCAGAGCCTAGGCTGGCCACTCACCAACAACAGTCTGGGCGGGAAGACCCTTCAAAAGCCCCTGCAGGCACCACACCTGGGGACACCCCCGTGTGGCTCCCCGACCTCCCGCCCCCACAGAGCATGCACACGCACGTGCACCCACACGCTGCCACGCCTGTCCCTGGGCCCGCCTGCCTGGGGCCTGCTTCTAGGTCAGGCCTGGGCACGGCTTCTGGGAGGACCAGTGCCAGGTGCTGCGGGCTGAGCCCGGCTGAGCAGCTCAGTGTGTGCGGCGGCCATGGCTGGGGGCGCGTGGGACTGGGCCCAGGGGGCTCCCGTGGGAGCCCTAACCCTGACGGCTCTGGCTGAGGGGATCCGGGCCAGCCAGGGGCAGCCCCCGGGACCCCCTTCCACCGGCCCTCAGCCCGAACCTGAGCTTGAACGCGGGGTAGAGCCTGGGCGGGCAGCCGCCATTTCCCCAGCTGGCAGTGAGCCCTTCTCCCAGTCTCCTACCCAGGAGCCAGTCCCTGAGGGACCCGGTCTTCATCTGGTGAGCAGGAGGGATGCCTGGGGGGTAAAGGGGGACGGAGCTGGGAAAAAACAGAAAGGCCACGGGGGTTTTGTCAAGAGCTGGGACGGGGTGGGGAGGAAGAGAGTGTGAGAGGCAAGGGGGTCTCATAGTCTCCCCTCGCCCCCACTCCCAGACTCCCCAGAGTTCCTTGGAAGAGGGGGCCCTCGCAGACCTGGCGTCGTACACGGGCTGCCTGTCTGGACGAGGCTGGCTTTGGGGAACGCAGGCGACAGCACTCACCCTGTCCTCAGCCCTGGAGGCCTGGGGGGAGTGGCTGGAGGACCAGGTTAGCCCCCGTCCCCTCCCTGCCCTTGGAGTCTCCCGCCTGGTCCCCTCCAGGGTTGGGGGCTAGAGGGAGCAGCCCCCTTCAGGCCGCAGCTGCTTGGTCAGGGTACTGAGGGTAACGTGCAGGGGTCACGGAGACTGGACCACTGACGTCCGCCCCTCCACGCCAGGTGCACGGCCTTGTGCGAGGGCCGCTGGCACAGGTGCCCAGCCTGGCAGAGTGGAGGCCCCAGCGGGCGGCCCTGCAGGTGCTGAGCACACTGGCCCTGGAGCACTGTCGGGCCGTGGTGTGTGCACTGCTGCCGCGCTCACTGTCCCCGGACCGGTAACCCGCCCCGCCCCGCCAGACGCCGCATCCCCCCCGCGGCCCGACGCAGCTTCCCTCCCCTTTCCGGCTTGTTGTGGAGACTGGCCCAGGGTGGGGTGGGTCACAGCGGGGCAGGGCCTTCCCTGCCTTCCGCTCCTGCCTCTCACCCACTGAGGGTCCTCAGGGCTGGCTTCCAGGCTTGGGGCCTGCCTTCTCTCTCCAGGCCTCTCCTGCAGCCCAGCCCGGCGGGGTGTGCTTCCGAGCAAGCCAGATGGCTGCTGCACCCCGGCGCCCATGGCTCTTTGGTGAGTCTGCCCCAGGAGAGCTACCTGTGGCTTTACTCTCCACGGTGATTGTTCGTGATGCCAGGCCTGTCTCACCGCTACTGGCCAAACAGGGTCTGCGTGGTCCCGCCGGGCAGTTGATCCTGCAGACTTGGCTCCGTTGTGGTCTCTGCACAGATGCCACTTATTTTGTTTCTCTGGGATTGCGGGGTTGATTACCTGCCCCTCCTCCTGCTGGAGTCCCAGTGGCCGCCTCCCTGACCTGGAGACGCCCCTCATCCCAGCGCCAGGCCCTGGCTCACACGCCCCGTGCCCCCAGGGCGGCAGCCGAGCTTTGGCGTGGCCTGAGCCAGAACCAGCGCGTGAATGGGCAGGTGCTGGTGCAGCTGCTGTGGGTGCTAAAGGGCTCGGCCAGATGCCAGCTGGAGGCACTGGTGGTAGGTGGCATTGCCAGGGACTCCCCTGGCCCTGGCCCAAGGGGACAGGAGAGTCTGGGCTCAGGGGTTTGGGGGCAGCAGGCTCTCACCTGAGTCACACCCATCCATAACGTCTCTCAAGCATAGAGGCTTTGTCCTCGCCCTGTCTGCAGCGTCTGAGCCTGAATGAGCCCCTTGTTCCATAGGCCACTCGTGCCCTTGGGGAGATGCTGGCTGTGTCAGGCTGCGTGGGTGCCACGCGGGGCTTCTACCCGCATCTTCTCCTTGTGCTGGTCACACAGCTACATGAGCTGGCCCGGGACCCATGCCCCACTGACATCCCCAAGGTTTGGGCCCCATCCCACCAAGGGCTACTGTACAGCCACGCCAGGTGAGGGGTGCACACCGGGGGGAGTGAGGGCTGGGCCAGTGCCCTCCTGGCCCTCACTGCCCATTCGTCTGCTGCCCCCCCCCCCCCAGCTGCACAGTGGAGGCCTTGAAGGCCCTGTTCACTGGGGATAGCTGCTGCATGGTGGTCACGTGCATGGAGCAGGCTGGACGCTGGAGAAGACTGGTGGGAGCCCACACCCACCTGGAGGGTGTCCTGCTGCTGGCCAGGTGCAGGGCAGGGGTGTGGGATAAGAGGCAGGGGCATGGGGGTTGTTGGGTAGAGGCTTCGTGAGGGGCGAGGCCGGACGCAGAGGGAGAGCTCCTATTTCCGCCTCATCACAGTGCCATGGTGGCGCACGCCGACCACCACCTGCGAGGCCTGTTCGCGGACTTGCTGCCCCAGCTGCGCAGCGCGGAAGACGCACAGCGCCTCACGGCTATGGCCTTCTTCAGCGGAGTGAGCCCGCTTCCAGGATGGGTGGTGAGGGGTGACCATGGACTTGGCCCCTAAGCGGCCGGGCCGGCACGGGAACGCGAGCGTGCTGACCCTGTGTCCCCCCGCCCAGCTGTTGCAGAGCCGGCCCACCACACGGCTTCTGCGGGAGGAGGTCATCCTGGACCGGCTCTGCGCTTGGCAGGGCGACCCCGAGCCCACCGTGCACTGGCTGGGCCTGCTGGGCCTCGGCCACCTGGCGCTGAACCGCAGGAAGGTGAGGGGCAGGACTGGGCGGGGTCTGGGCGGGGTCTGCGAGGGGTCTCCCACGAGTCCCCGTCCCTGCAGGTGCGTCACGTGTGCACGCTGCTGCCCGCGCTCCTGGGCGCCCTGGGCGAGGGTGGCGCGCGGCTCGTGGGCGCCGCACTGGGGACGCTGCGGAGGGTCCTGATGCGGCCGCGGGCACCGGTGCGGCTCCTGGGCGCGGAGCTGGGACCGCTCCTCCCACCGCTTGTGGAAGACGTGAGCCCGCCCCTCCGGCCCCGCCCCTCCCGCCGTCACCACCCCCTCCCCAGGCTCTCCCAGGGTTCCCCAACCAGGCCCCGCTCCTGGCCCCGAGATCACGCCCCCAGACGGCAGCCCTCCGGACACCCTCTCTCTGCTGGCTCCGCCCTGACCGCGCCCTGCTATGCAGGCCCGGGACTCGGTCCGCGCCTCGGCGGTCGGGCTCCTCGGGACGCTGGTGCGGCGCGGCTGGGGCGGGCTCCGGGACTCCGCGGCCCCCTGCGGAAGCTGGTGCTGCAGAGTCTCGTGCCGCTGCTGTTGCGACTGTATGACCCCAGCCGGGACACCAATGAGGTCAGTCCCCCCAAGACTGTCCCAGGGCTGTCTCCATCCAGCCCCACCCATTCCCACGACAGCTGCCTCTCCAAAGATTACAGGTCGGGGACTTCTCCCAGGACCTCAGGTGCAGGTGACATGCGCAGCCAGGTTCCTGGTCTTTCCTGGGCCGCCTGCGCCTCCACCCCTCATCCTGGCCACCTCCCCCCTCCCAGGCCATTTCTTGCCACTTTCTGGACTCCTAACCTTGCTGCCTTCCCCTGTTCCAGAGCTCAGAGTGGACCCTGACCCTCTGTGACCAGGCCCTGCGCTGGGGCCTACTGGAGGAGATGATCACCGTGGCCCACTGCAACAGCCCTGAGGCCCTAAGCTGCATCTGCCACCGCCTGGTCAGTTGGGGGAGGACAGTGACAATGATGGGGTATATGGTCAGCTGCCCGCTTGGTCCAATGTACACCAGGGCCACTCCCGCCAAACTGAGCCTTCCCACCCTTGCAGTCAAGGTGGTGGCAGGTCTAAAGCCTCAGGTCCTGATGCCATGTCCCGGGGGATCCCCAGGGCCCTCAGCCCCTGGACTCACCTCTGCGGCCTCCTTCCCATGCAGAATTGGCCCTCCTGTCCTGCTATGAGCCCTTCTGTCCCCGGGTTTAGGGGTACCCGAGTCACGTGCCCCGCTTCCTGAGCCAGACCCAGGGCTACCTGCGGAACCCACAGGACTCCCTGCGCTGGGCAGCTGTGGTGCTCGTGGGTAAGGCAGTCCTGGTGTCACACTGTCCCTTGCACCTAGGGCTCTGGGAGCTGGGCCAGCCCCTCCCTGCTGTGGGCAGGGGGCCAGCACTCAGGGTTTGCTTTGGTCCAGGCTTCCTGGTCCATCACTCAAGCCCCCGCCGCATCAACCAGGACCTGCTAGACAATCTGTTCCAGGGTGAGGACCCGACTCACCGGGGCATGGGGTTCCAGAAAGGTGGTGGGCGCTAGGGCGGAGCGGATGGGAATGGGTGGATGGAGAGCTGGGGCCCTGGGGCCCTCCCGCGCCATGAACTGCCCTGTCCCCCACAGACCTGGGGCAGCTGCAGAGTGACCCTGAGCCCACTGTGGTGGCAGCGGCACAAGCGTCCACCCAGCAGGTGGTGCTGCGGGCTCAGGCGCAGCACCCTCCCTGCCGTGGGTGCCTCCTGCGCCTTCCCTGCCTGGGCCGGCGCCACGCCCACCCTGCCCGGCCCCCACCAGTCTACAGAGACAGCCCGTTCCAGCACCACCGGAGCCCTGCTGGCCCCTGGGGCTGCTTAGGACCAGGCTGAGCCCGACTGGCCCGCCCCCCACCGCTCTGCGGCCAGTCTTGGCAGGGGCACATCTGCAGAAGAGGCCCCCCCTTGAGGGGCACCCTGGGCTCGGTGCTGGGCACCAATGCCTGCCCCCCGGAGCCACGCAAGGCCTGTTGCACACAAAGACCCCTCTCCGGGAGCTCACCCCCCCAGACAGCCCTACGACCTAGAGGGGGCACGCACCTTCTGACGGAGCACCATTTCGCCCTCAGCCTCTTGCCTCGTACACCCCTGAGTCCATCTGTCCCCCCTCAGCCCCCTGCCTGGATGACACCTGACCTCCCGGGCCGAGGCCTGGTGGGGGCCACTGTGAAGCTGACACAGCCCTGGGAGCCGGCGCCGTGATAGGCCGCCCTCTGCCTGGGCCCTCCCGGCCGCCCCAGCAGCCCATCACTCCTCGTCACGTGCTCCACTCCTGGCTGGCCATGTCCTGGCCTGAGGTTCTGAGGTTCCTGGCCAAGAAGCACTGATCTGTCCTCCTGTCCACACCCGCTGCCCCACAGCCTGGCCCCGTTCCTGCCCCTCCCCCGCACTTACCGTGTCAGACCCCACCTGGGCCTTCTCCGGAAGCTGTCCCCGACCTCCCCACTGGACAGCACGGACCCGAGATGACACCTGCGGGCTCAGGTGTGGGCTGCCAGCATTCGCACCCCACTAGGCTGAGCTGTCGCGCCGGCACCCCAGCACCCTGCTCAGGGGTGAATGGAGGCGTGACTGGACACGTGGGGAAGAGGGCCCTCAGGACGGCTCCGAGGCCGTGACCCAATCCATCCAGACCCTGGACGGGCGGCTTCCTCCACCTGGAGTGCCCACCTTGAGGTGTCCTCTTGCCCTTTCAGGGCCCCCCCAATGCTGCCTCCTCCTCAGAGGAGGCCTCAACTCACACAGCCTCTTGGAGGCTGGGGTCCTGCCCATCCCTGTGGAAAGCGTTTAAAATAAACACACGGATCCTAGGGGTTCAGCGTCTGTCTGGGGCCTGGGTCTGGGCCAAGGCTGGGTTCTGATGCGCTGGGCCTGGTCCGAGATCGGGCTGGGGCTGAGATTACAAGGAAGACAGCACGTAGCCAGGAGTTCGGGTCGGCTCCGGGGTGGGCGGAAGGCCAGGCAGGTTCCACCCTGAGCTGAGAAGCTGTGCTTTGGGCCTACGCATGCCGAGCCAATGGGGCCGGGGCTCAGCAGGAAGGGGTTGGGGTCTCCTCGTAGGTCATTCCCAGGGCAGGGGAGGCTCGGGCCGAGGGCACTGGTCTGTGTGAAGCCAGGGGCATGGTTTGGGGTATTGGTTCGGCTTCTCCAAAGCAGATGCCCAAACTGGATTAAGCTACAAGAAATATATCGGGGTACACGCTGGAGAGGCCAGGAGGCTGTCAGACGCCCGTAAAGGAGAGGAGGACGGAAGGAAGGGAGGTTGGTGGGAATGTCCTCAGGGGGTTCTTCAGCCTGTCACCCATCAAGGAGGCTCCAGCTCCCAGGCCTGGGGGTCCCTCCTCAGCTTCCATGGCTGCAGGTGGGGCCCACGAGGAGCACCCTCACAGCCGCCCGACTTGGTCTGGGTCTGGGCCTGGGCTCAGCAGGAGCCTGGCGGACTTCAGTGGCAGCCCCCATGGGCAGAAGCAAGCCTGGCCCCCACTGCTTGCAGCCGAGGAGCCAGAAGCTGGGTGAGCATTGGATGCCCATTTCCCCCACCAGGCACACGCTTGTCCCACTGCAGAGCACAGCTGGGCAGGCTAGTGGCAACCCCCAGTGACGCCCACTGGAAAGGAGAGCCCAGCCTCAGATGAGGGCTCGGGCAGGCAGCACCCCCCCTCTTCTCGCGACGCCTCCGTGATGCCTGGGCTTCTTAGGCCTGGGAGCCCGTACTCCTCCCTGTAGCAGGCCAGTTGGAGTGCAGGCTTCTCTTGGATGATCAGTCTTGTGTGCAAGACTGCCTTGCCGTGGTCCCCTGCCCCATCGCTGGAAGCCCTGCTAGACTCCCTGCTTGCCAGATGTTGGGTTCACTCAGAGCCTGTTGCTTTGTCCTGGGAGTGTAACCCTTCTCGGGGATTTCTCTGCTGGGATCCTCAGGGAGGCTCCAGGTGGATCAGTGCTGCCGTAGCCCTGCTCCCAGGCGAGCATCGCTGGTTGAGTGTCCAGGCTGTCCAGGCTCTTCCAGTCCCGTCCCCCTTGGTTTTGCCTTTCAAGTCCCCCTAATGCGGTTCCCAAAGGAGGGGCGTGGGCCCTGGTGAACACAAACAGGCTTGAGAGGTGTCCAGCTTCTCCTCTCCCTGTGTGAGGGGTAGATCTCTAGGGGTTTCTGTTTGCTTTTTTTAAACATTGATTTATTGATTTAGGCTGCCCCAGGTCTTAGTCCGGCGCTCGTGATCTTTGTCGCGGCACGTAGGACCTTTCAGCTGCGGCACGCACGCAGGATCTGGTTTCCCGACCAGGGATCGAACCCGGGCCCCCTGCATTGGGAGCACAGAGTCTTACCCACTGGGCCACCAGGGAGGTCCCTTCTAGCAGTTTCTGTACCAGGATCTGGGATGTTTGGGGAACCCTCTGGGTTTGTTTTTTTTTTTTAATTATAAATTTATTTATTTTTGGCTGCATTGGGTCTTCGTTGCAGTGCGCGGGCTTCTCATGTGGTGGCTTCTCTTTGTGGTGGAGCACGGGCTCTAGGCACGTGGGCTTCAGTAGTTGTGGCACGCGGGCTCAGTAGTTGTGGCTCGCGGGCTCTAGAGCGCAGGCTCGGTAGTTGTGGCGCACAGGTTTCGTTGCTCCGCGGCATGTGGGATCTTCCCAGACCAGGGCTCGAACCCGCGTCGCCTGCATTGGCAGGCGGATTCTTAACCACTGTGCCACCAGGGAAGACCCAAACACTCTGTTTTAATATTAATTTTACTGTTGGCCTCAATCATGAGTTTTCTCGGGGGTTAATGTCCCAACCACGGCAGGGCCGATCATCCCTTCTCTTTAGCCAGTCCTGAGGCTGCAGGGCAGTGTGAGCCTGACAGGAGGGGAGCGCGGCTTCCCCCGCCTTCCGCCAAGCGGAGGATGGCAGACTGGCTCCCACGGGGAGAGGCGAATTTCTCCTGGCTGTTCAAGCTCCAAGATGAGAATAAGTCCTTGGCTGAATCAGTTACTATCTCTCCTTGCACGTGGGGCCGTTCCACCCCCGCCCCCACGCCCCAGGGAGGCTCAGGCACCCTGGTCCAGGGAGGCTCTGAGCCCTGCCGAAGGCCCAGGGACTGCGACTCAGGGGCCCAGAGCCCTCCTCTCGGGAGACTCTTACCTTTGAGCGAATTAATTTGGATGAGACATACCCCAAAGACCAGTTGCTCTGGTTCGGGTCACTTCCCTGGGGCCCCAGTGCAGCCCCAGGAGGGCAAATCTGTGTGCCTGTCCGTACACCTTTTCTCTGTCCTCTCTGCGCCCCGGAGGGCAAGGACAGCCCCCGCTCCCTGCATCAGTACGTTCTCAAGTTCCCTGAGGCAGACAGAGAACCATCTTGAGGGCTGGAATCGCCCCGTCCCGTTCTTTCCAGGCCAGCCGGCTGGGGGAGGGCGCCAGGAGCCCGGCCACGTGGCTGCTCACTCTGGAGCGATCCGGTGCAGCACAGGGAACGCCCCCTCAGCCCCACGGGAGAGATGCCTGCTCTCAGCCCCCAGGTCCCTCCCCATATGAGGCCCCATCCCCGTCGCTGCCCGACCCCTGACACAGGGCCCCTTGAAAGCTCAGTGAGCATTTTCCCTTCGTTCATCACATTTATTGTCTTTCCTCAACTCCCAGGCCTTGTGGGGAGCTGCCCACATGGCTGGGTGTGGCTCCTGGCAGCTGGGTGGGCATGAGCTCTGCCCCGACTAGAGAGCTGCCCTGCGGGCAGGCTGCAGGCTAGCAGAGCCGGCTCAGCCTGAACAGCAGTGCGAGGCAGGCGTAAAGCGCATTCGCACAGCCCTGGGCCTCCGGTTTCCAGCACACCTGGGGGGCGCCCACCTGTGGCTCAAGGCCACACTCCTCCAGCAGGACCCAGGTGGGTGCCTCTGAGCCCCAGCTGCTCCCCAGGAGCTCGTGCGGCAGGGACACGGCCCTGTGCTCCTGCCATGGGGTGCTCTGCTCCAAAAGGCTCTCCACCTGGCAGAACAGGGTGGGAGGTTGTCAGAGGGGCCCCCAGGATTCTGGCACCATCCACACCACCCCAGCCCAGATGCACTGGGTCCGCACCTCCGGCACAGCCCCTCCCCTACAAGCTGGGCCCACTCACCAGTTTGAACGCCCCTGACAGGGCCCCCATCTCCAGCACCTCAGCCAGCAGCACGTGCTGGGTTGCACTCAGCACTGGGGAGAGACCTTGGGTGAGAGGGGTTCTGGAAGGCCAGCTAGGGAAGCCCACATTCCTGCTCCCTGCCTGTCCCACCCCCGGAGCCCCTCACCAGCTAGAGCTTGCAGCAGGTAGAAGACGGGGCCGGCAAGTCTCTTTTCCAGCCTTCTGGAGGAGAACACCAGGCACTCGAGGACAGCACCCACCGGACCATCCCGAGACTCCAAAAGCCCGCCACGCAGGCCGTGCTCCAGCTGGGGGTGAGGGCGTGGGGCGGGTGGGTGAGCGCGGGGGCGGGGCGCAGGCACCAGCTCTGCCCGCCCCACCCCGCCCCAGCTCGCCCCCCACCCACCCACCACCCCTGCACGCCCCCCACGCCCCACCCAGCTCTCTCACCGACTCATCCAGGGCTTGCAGGGCGGCCTCGTCCCGCAGCACCTGCCCGAGGGCCCCCAGCAGCTGCCGACAAGGCTCCCTGGACAAGCCCTCCAGGCCCACGGCCCAAGCCTCCACTTCTGCCTGCAGGCCCTGGAAGCCTTCGGTGGTCGCCAACCGGTCCTCCATGGGCCCATCTGTGGGGACAGGGCTGCCATTGCCCAGGTACCCACGTGGCCCCGGGGAGCCCTGGTTATGGAGGGCAGACCACAGGGGGGCAGAAGGGGAGCCCACCAGGGGGGTGGCCAAGAAGGTACTGACCCGACAGGAACTTGAAGCGGAGAGAGAGAAATTTTGTGGAGGTGAGGCAGGAGGACCGCTGCAGCTGGCCACCTGCAGTGTAGGAGGGCCTGTAGTCTGGACGAGGCAGGGCTGGTCAGCGCAGGGCTGGGTCCCCGAGCCAGAGAGGCCTGAGGCCTCCCCTCGGCCCTCACAGCCTGTCACCACCACCCCAGTACTGGCAGCCCAGGACAGGGAGCAAGGTCGAACCAGGCTGGTGTCAGCCTGTCACCATGTCACCCGTGTGTGCGTGTGTGTGTGCGCGCGTGTGTGCGTCCCCCGGCTGTGCTGTGCTGGGCAGGAGAATGCCTCATCAGCTCATCCCATTGCCCAGGTCCACAGGCCTCACCTTCCTGCTGTGGCCTGAAGGTCGTCTGCTTCTTGTCCGGGAAGAAGAGGATGTCTGGCAGCCAGACAGGAGCAGAGGTGGGAAAGCAGGTTGGCGGGGCACTTGGCATCTCCCTCCCAAGCTGGGACCCCCTGTGCAGTACCCCCATTGTGCCCCAACCTCCCAAATGCCAGAGCAAGGGACCCTCGGCCACCCCGACCCAGATGCCCCCAGTGACCCCTGGGGGCTCTTCCAGGCCTCTCTGCCATGGAGTTGGGCCCCAGAAGTCACCGTGATCCTGGCTCACCCCAGTCAGAGCCAATAACCAGCTGGGCCACCCGAAAGGCGAGGATGCTGCCCGCGGGGATGGTGACCATCTTGTTCTGGCTCAGGTGGCCCTCGCCTCTGCCCTGACAGATGGATATGGGCTCAGGACTGGGCTCTGGGTCGTGGGGCCAGACGTAACAGGGTGCTGGTGGCAGGGCTCTGCCCCACTCTGCCTCCCCAGCCCGAGCCCCCGCACACCTGCAAGCCCATGGCTCCCGGAAGTGCAAACTGGCCGGAGCCCTCCTGCTTTTGGGTCCGGGTGACTTCCACCTCCTGCTGTGTCTGCAGCACCTCGGTCACGACGAACACGTCATCCCCACGATTCCGCAGCTGCTGCAGGACTTTGTGCTCAGGCCGCCGCAAGCGCCTGTGGTGAGCAGACCAATGGGAAGCTCGCAGCGGTGCACCCTGCGCTCCCCTCCCCCTGCCACGGGGCGGGCTTCCGTTCCCTGGACCTCAGCCTTTGTGGCCATAGGGGTTGGGGGCGGTGACACGGCCGAGGAGACCGAGAGCTCTGTGGATGCCCAGGCACGGGATACCCATCATTCCCTCCCTGGTGCTCCCGACAATGTTTGTGAGTGGGTGGGGTGCAGGAAGAAAAGACAAGGTCCAGTGGGGACGGGTGGACACCTGAAGACCTCTGGAGGGGCCCACCCTGTTGGCCGGTTGCTCACCTGGCTGCTCTCTCCCTCCACTCCCTGCCGCTCCCAGGGTTCAAATCTCATGTCTCCGCTCTGAGCTAATGGTCCTTCTCCCCAGGGTCCCTGTGTCTGCTCCACCCCAGCAGCCCAGCCCCCTCGCAGTGGGACTTGGTCTGACCCCTGACCCTAGGGCCCTGCCTGGCCGCCCTGGCCCGCAGGATGCAGGCCCCCAGGACCTCTGCAGCCTCCTTCCCTGCCCACTGGTCCCAGCATGCCCCTGCCTCTGGGACTTCCCTCAGCCTGGCAGAGACCCCCTGTGACTCCTGCTGCCCCGAGGTCCTGACCCAGAGGCTGCCCAGTTTCAGCAGGGCCCCGCCACCCCAGGGCTCACCTCTCTCGATGCATGGCTTCCCAGGTGTTGGGCGCCACTCGCAGCGTGCACACGATCATCGAGGCGCTGGAGCTGCCGGACACCGCGGCCCCGCCTGACAGCTTCCCCTGTCCTGGGGCCGCCAGCTCCACGCTGCCCTGCATCTTCCCATCCATAGCATCGTGGAAATGGAAGGTGTTGCCACACTCCACAGCTGGAGCAAGACCAGAGCTGAGGCCCATCCCACCATCCGCCGCCTTTCCCCCCGGGCAGAGGGGCCTCTGAAAAGTGCCTGCCCTCTGGAAGCAGGAGCCCAGAGGCCCAGAGCAGGTGGCAGCGGGCCTGCCCCCTCCTCCCCCGACCCGACCCATGGCTCTGACAGTGCCAAGTGGGGTACCTGGCTCTGGGGCGTCGGGCTCCAGGATGTCCCTGATGGACAGGTTGACACGTGTGTAGCGGTGTTTCCAGAACCGTGAACTCGAGGACTTCCTGCCCAAAAGGCAGTAGAGCTGGAAGCTGGTGGAGCTCTGCAGGCTGTCCACAGGGGTGAGCTCCCCACCGTGGTCCAGCTCCTGGACCACGCTCCTGACCACCCTTGCAAAGGCCGATGCCATGCTCCTGAGGAGGGCAGCTGGGTCAGGCCTTGCACCCGCAGGGCTGGAAGAGGGCGGGCGGCAGAGGGGGAAGGTAGGTGCCTGGACGTCTCCAGTGATGGGGAGCTCTTTCCCTCCAAAGCAGTCCTGCTTGGCTAGTCCTGGGATGCTCTGACTGGCAGAAGGCGCTTTCTGACTATCACCCAACACAAAGACAAGCAGAAGCACACCCGGGCATCCACTAGTCCATCTTTCCAAGGGGCCATGAGCACCTCCAGGGTGGGGCGTCATTCACAGCCCTCAGTGGGACTCAGGCCACGCACACCAGCTGTTCTGTGATCAGAGTGCCCACATGGAGCCCGAGAAAGCCCTGGGACTCAGCGCTTGGGGCGGGGGGGGCAGCCCTGGCCACCCACCAAGGCCTCTTGTCCCTTTGTCACTTCAACAAGGCTTAGGGCTGCTCACGAAAAGCAGCCACTGAGGAAGGGCAGGGCAAGGCTGGGGCCTTGGAGTGACCCCGAGCCACTGCTCTGTCTGCTGTAGCAGCTCCCCCCGCTGGCTGAGGTGTTCAGAGGGCGGGGGAAGAATCAGAAGCCATCACTTCCTGGGCAGTTGGTGCAAAGGCCCACAGCAAGGCCCAGCCAAAGTGTCCCCAGCTCCTAGACGTGTCCTCCAGGGCTTTCTCTGCGCCCAAAGCTCCGTGAGCCACTAGTCTGTCTTCAGGGGTCAGAAGCCAATGTGGGCCTGACTCAGGACCCAGGACATCTGGGCTCCAGGCACGGGGGCCAGCCCTTAGGAAGCCTCTGAGCTTCAGGGATGGTCTGAAGTCTGAGAGTGGCCCAAGGAGCACCTAGAGGGCCTACCTGGAGTTAAGCCCAAACCAGCCGGGCTGGGGAGGGCACCCCCTTCCCAGAGGCCTGGGGCTTCCCCAAACCTGTCTGGGATTGCGAGTCCTTGGGGGGCTTGGGGAAGCCGCAGAAGGGTGCCCGGACCAGGTCTCCACCCAGAGGAGCTGGCCTCCCCCCACCCAGCACTAGGGAGAGCCCCCCCTGGAACCAGGGCAGGCAGTGGGGTGCGGCGCGCAGGGGCGGGGAGCAGCTCACCGTGACCGTGACTGTTGCGTGCCTGCGCCCACAGAGCTGAAGCCAGGCCGCTCTGCTGGCTGGGGTCGGAGGGCTCTGCCCCGGAGCTGCCGAGCTAGCACACAACCCAAAGTTTCCCAGATCCAAAAGTGAAACCTCGGCCGGCCTGCAGCAGCCACAGCCCGGAAACCCCCGTGAGCCCGCCCCGCAGCCCCAGCCCGGCGAGGGTGGGGGAGGGTCAGGGTGCGCCAGCTCGTGCCCCACCCGCTGCTGCCTCCAACTGCTGGGCACTAACTGCTGGGCGCTTCTTCAGTCCTTCTCTCTGGAAACTCTGGGCCACGGCAAAGGGTCTGAAGAGACATTTCCTCAAAGAAAATGTATTGCTACAAACGGCCAACAAGCGCACAAAAAGATGCTCACGCCATTTGCTGTCAGGGAACTGCAGATCAAACTGCAGTAAGATGCTGCTTCACACCCCATAGATAACTGTATAGAAGAGAAGTAACGAGTGTTGGGGAAGATGGGGGAAATTGGAGCCTCACACACTACTGGGAATGTAAATGGATGCAAAAGAGTCTGGCAGTTCCTCAAAAAGTTAAACAGAGAATTACCATTAGATCTCATTCATTCCACTGCTAGGTGTGTATTCAAGAGAAGTGAAAACATATGTTCACGCAAAAACCGGCACATGGATGTTCCCACAACATTATTGTTAACAGCCAAAACTCAGAAGCACCGCAAAATGTCCGTCTGTGGAAGCACAGACAATGTGGTCAGTGCATACGATGGAAGACACAGGATGGTGTGGTGCTCAGTCATACAAAGGAATGAAGTTGTGACTCACGGCACAACGTAGATGGACCTCAAAACATTATGCCAAGTGAAAGAAGGCAGACGTGAAAGACAATATCTCACGGGATTCATGTATGCAAATTGTTTAGAACAGGCGAACCGTAGGGACAGAAAGCAGCTTAGTAGTTGCCAGGTGCTGCGGGGAGGGGGATGGGGAGTGACACAGCCTCTTTTGGGGAGTGGAAATGTTCTCAACTCTGAATACGCTAAAAGCCCCAGAGTTTCACACTTTTAATGGGTGAATTGTATGGTATGTGAATTGTATCTCAATAAAGCTGTTACTTTGAAAAGCTGAAGCCAGGCCTGTCTCAGGTTCTCAACACCCTTACTCTCTTGGGCTGCTTGCGGATCATGTCCAGTGCAAGGCAGCCAGGAGCCCCATGCCCCCTTTTCTCCACCGCTCCACCGCCACATCCTGCCTCTGGGCCCTGTGACACTCTGGAGCCCGCACCAGGGCCCCTGCCAGTTGGCTGGCCTGAGACTCACCCCGAAGGCTCCGCCACATGCACTAATTCGAGCCATGAGTGTTTATCAGCACCTGGCGCCACGTGCTCCTGCAGATGAGGGCTCTGGCCGTGAACGGGACAAGGGCCCCTCCAGGTAGAGCCGCTGGCAGCGGCCCCGATGCCAGTGCAGGGAAAGTGACTTCCTGGGGGGGTGTTTTGGAATGTTGCAATGACCCGGGGCTGAATGAAGCATGGACAGGGCATCGCTGCAGCAACTCCTCGTTCACATGTTCAGTTCTCTGGCAATAACCTAAACAAGAGGCACTGGGCTTGGTGAGTGGTTGTGTCCCTAGGCTCCTGAGGGCAGAGTCAGCCTGAGATGACAGGAAGTGAGTCCACTGGGGAGAAAAAGCAGAAGGAAGGTGGCTGGGGCTGGCCCTGCACCCCCTCCCCCTCCCCATTTGGAGGCCTGGGGAGCACTCGGACATTTCCAGGGCCAGGAAGTCTGGGGAAACCTCCCGTCCTCCTCACAGCCACTCTGTGATATGGGGGTGGGTGAGGCCTCCCTGCGCAACGTCTGGGCAGACCCTGGGGGTCCAGAGCCAGCTAGGACACCGCGCCCTGGGGGGAGAACCGTGACCAGGGATGGGAGCCTGGGAGGGGGCTTCTGGCTGTGTGCAGGGAAGGGTTAGCACCTCTGGGAGAGTTCTAAGGAAGAGGAAGCCCACCGCAATCCGATGCCTCCACCCACCCGGTGAGGGGCAGGGCTGGCCAGGCACTGCTGGGAACTGGGCAGTGGAGGCCACAGCCTCTACCCTGGAAGGGAGGAACAAGGACAGAAGATAACCAGGACAGCCCTTTGGAGGCAGCGGTTGGGATACCTCAGAGGACATGGCAGAGTGGGCTTAGGGAGAGGAGGCCTGAGGGTGTCCACTGTCCTCCAGGCAGGGACAGTGGAGGCCAGGACCGCATGAGACGGGGCTAGGGGGTAGTCGGCCCGAGGAACCCACCCAGCCCCGGCCATCGGGCATCAGGGACGGCCAGGGTCCAGGGAGGGGTAGGGGGAGCTGTGGGCCTCGGGCTCATCTGGGTCTGCGATGTGGGTGGTGCAGCTCAGGGGGCTGGCTCCACCCTGTGCCCGCCTCCCAGTGACACTTTGGGGGTTCCCAGGGTGCCGGAAGTCGGCGCCCAGGATGTCGGCAGCCGCGGCCCGCGCTGCCGCGCCCCCAGGAGCCCGCGCGGGCAAGAGGCGCCCCGGAGGGCCCCGTGTGCCCGAGAGCCGCTTGGCCGGGAGTGAACGAACGCGGAGCGAGGGGCCGAGAGGCTGCCAGACGCACTGAAGTCCCAGGAGTCCTTTCCTTTGGGAGTTGAGTCCCCCCGGGGCTTCCCTCCCGCTCGCCGCCCCCGCCCCCCTTGCTGGCCCGGACCCTCGGCGGCGGCTCGGACCGCGGGTCAGCAGGGCCTGTCCAGCAGGCGCTCAATCAACGCTCGGCGGATCGCTGGGCGACGGGGCGGCCCCAGAGCAGGGCGGTCTCGGATCCAGGGGCGCCCCGGGAGTCAGGAGGGGCATAGGCCTCAGGAAGGGGCGGCAGAACTGGGTGGGGGAGAGGCAGGCGAGGAAACTACTCCCCGCAGGTCAGGATCAGCGGAGGCTCACGGTGCGTCCTGGGGGCCGGCGCGGGTGACTAGCGGTTCCCTTCGCCCACGCCCCGCCTCCAGCCGCCCCTCCCCCGCGCGGCCCTCCTGTCTTGTTTCCTTTTGGTCCTCGGTCCGTAGGCCTGCGGCATCCTGCCTGGCTCGGCACTTTCTGCTGACAGGGGTCGGGGGAGCGGCTCAGAACCCTGCCCCACTCCAACTGGTCCTCTGCAGAGGGAAGCGGCTCTTGTTTCCGACGCTCTGAGCCTCACTTCACTTTGCCCCAGCTGCAGGGGGCTCTTACTGCTGGGATCCAGGCATTGCTGGGCTGGGGGGGGCGGGTGTCTCTTCCACCTAGTTAGGCTTGCCCAGTACTAGGGCATGTGGGAAATTGTGGAGGTGAGATTCACACCATCCATCCACCGTGGTCCCTGAGAGCCTCGTGGAAATGCTGCCATCTAGGAAACAGTAGATTAATCAACTTTTCTCCCAAGAGGATCTGGTTCTGAGGCTCATGCTTTGCCGTGAGGGTGGGGGGTCAGGTGGGGGATTGGAGGCTGGGATGAAGGAGGGACCCATAGAGCCCTCAATGGTAGTTCTCTTCTACACTCACTTCCTGCCTGTCTCCCTCTGGGATAAAAGGCAAGGAGGTATCCATGGGGTAGCGGTCCCAGCCAGCCAAGCACCTGTTCCCACGTGAGGGCCCGGTGAGTCAGGGTGCCTGACTCCCATCGCATGCAGACCTCCTGGAGAGAAGGAGATGGCAGGAGGGGGACATTCCCCAAGGGAGGTGCAGGCTGGGTTGGTGGAGGGGGGACGCAGATACTTTTGCAGGCCACAGAACAAGGAGACAGGTAACAAGCTCAGGAAGGATTTGACATTTTGTGCTTGTGCCCTGGTAAAAGTGCATTCGGTACAGCTGCATTGCTTTCCTACTCTCCCACCCCCTTCAGAGAGGCTGGTGCCTGGGGTAGCCTTATGTGGTGGGGCTGGAGAGAAGGGGGGTGTGCAAGGCCAAGGGCAGATGTGGGTGGGGTGGCTGGGGGAACAGCGTGCGGCTCAGGAAGGCTGCTTGGGCTAGGGTGGTGAAAAGAGCAGGAAGCTGGGTGTGGGAGAAGGGAGGAGAGCAGAGGGAGGTGAGGGGTGGCGGTGGGAGACAACTCCCCTGTGAGGGGAGAGAGGGAGAAGTCCATGGAAATGGCCTTCCAGCAACAGGTATGTCTGTTCCTCAGCACTTGTTTGCTGAATGCCAGTAATGGAGTCCTTTTTATGGCCCCAGACCTGCACCTGGGCAGCCCTATGGGAAGGTCCACTGCGGGGAAGCGAGAGGATTGGCAGAGAAGAGATCACTCGGAGAGTGGGCAGCCAGCAAGAAGAGACCACTGGAGGAGAGAGATGGCCTGGAAGTAGTCGGCCCAGGACGCGCAGGAGTCTGGGGAGGGTGAGGCTACCCTGTGATTTGGGATGGGAGATTGACCCCCTTTGTGTTGGTCTCCTCATCCTTAAGTTGGAAACGACAGGGTTGTTGTGAAGACTCAATGCATTAATGTGTGTTAACACTAGAATGGGGCCTAGGGACTTTCTTGCTGGTCCACTGGTTAAGAATCTGCCTTCCAATGCAGGGGACGCGGGTTCGATCCCTGATCAGGGAACTAAGATCCCACATGCCGCCGCGCAACTAAACCCATGTGCTGCAACTAGAGACAAGCCTGCAACAAAGAGCCTGCGCAGCCCAAATAAATAAATAAGTAAACAAACAAACACAGACCTGTGCTTTAAAAAAAAAAGGGGGGGGCCTGGCACACTGTAATGGGCTATAAACATGCTCAATATTTTTGTTCCATGTAAAGAACTCAGCACCTGACTTTAAAATTTTTAATTTTTATTGATGTATAGTTGATCTATAATGTTCTATTAGTTTTTGGTATACAGCAAAGTGATTCAGTTATACATGCATATGTATTTTCATATTCCTTCCCATTATGGTTTTTTACAGGATATTGAATACAGTTCCCTGTGCTATACAGTAAGACCTTGCTATCTATTTTATATACAGTAGTTTGTATCTGCTAATCCCAAACTCCTAATTTATCCCTCCCCATCCCTTTCCCCCCAGCACCTGATATTTTTGTTCATAAGGCCTTGCACGTGTTTCATTATCTCTTTTGGGGGGATTCTGAAAAGTGAAATTCCCCACACGGTATTCAGGGTCTTGGCACGTGTTGCAAATTGCCCTTCAGAAAGGCTGTGCCAACATCCAAAAAGTGAACAGTGGAGTCTCTTGCCCTCGCCCCGAACACTGAAGGCAGGCTGCTTTAATCGGTGCCAGCTTGATGGGCATCAGAGTTTTAAGTGTAACTGTCAGGTCAGTTTTAAGGAGTTAATCGTGACAGCACTTACATCCCACTTACACTTTCACAACTCCAGGAGACAAACCCACAAACCTTGCCTCCTCTCAGCAAGTGGCTGGGCTCTCCGCTCCACCACCCCAGGACTGAAGTCCAGGAGCAGAGAGCTTGTCGGGCACAGAAGACAAGTTCAGCGCTAGACCCATGAATCCGTCAGTGTGTGCTAATAAATCACCCCAAAACCTAGTGACACAAACATCCCCTGGTTTGCTCATAATCACGTGAGGTGCCCTAAATTATGACATTTAGGCTCATCTCTGCTCCACATGGTATCACCTGGGTTCATCGATTTTGTGGCTAGCTGGCAACCACTGGCCTCATTGTTTGGCAGACGGCTGGCTGTCAAGAGGGTCAGTGGTATTAACTAGGCATGTGTTGTCCATCCTCCATCAGGCCAGCCCTGGCTCATTCATAAGGTGATGGCTGCAGGATTCTCAAGAGAAGCAAGACAGGGCAAGTCCAAAGAAGTGCTTTTCAAGATCCCTGGTGGGAAATTCCGTCATTCCACGAGAACTCCCCTACCCTGCCCTCAGAGTTCGGCCAAGGCCTAAGGGTCTTACACAGTGTTCAGCTGGTGGGGCACGACCTGTGGCTCACCCCATCTCACAGCCTGAGTGCAGGGGCCATTCTATTGTCTGGTCTTCCTAGCCTGGGGCCACCTCCGCCAAAGAAATCCCAGGGTGCCCACTGCTGTATGTTGAGTGGAGTAACATTGACTCCCTAAGGTGGGTTCAGGTGCTGACCTAAGAGGCTGTGGGCTGCATCCTCACCTGCAGGAGACAGAGCACGTGACCCCTTGAATCATTGGTGGCATATGTTTTACCTCTACATATGTTATAAACCCACAATACGTTTTTATTATTTTTGCTGTATCTATTTGTCTTTTAGAGAAAATAAGAAATGAGAATTTAAAAAAATTACTAACATATTTCCCGTTTCCTGTCCTCTTTCTTCATGTAGCTCTGTCTCCATATTGTATCATTTCCCTTCAGCTCGAAGAATTTCCTTTAACATTTCCTATTTTTCAGGTCTGTGCAGACACATTCTGTCCACTTTTTTTTTTATTGTGGTAAATATATAAAAATTGTTATATACTCATTTTAAAGTGTCCACTTCAGTGGCATTAAGTACATTCACAATGTTGTGCAACCATCACCACTGCTTGTTTCCGAAACTTTTTCATCGCTCCAAACATAGACTCTACCCAAAAAGCATTAATTCCCCATTCCTCCTCCCCTCAGCCCTTGGTAACCCCTGATCTACTTTCTGTCTCTATAAATTTCCCTATTCTAGCTATGTCATATAAGTGGAATTTTGCCGTATTTGTCCTTTTGTGACTGGCTTACTTCATTTAGCGTAATGTTTCTGAGGTTCATTTATGCCGTAGCATGGATCAGTACTACATTCCTTTTCAAGGCTAAATCCTGTTCCATTGTACGGATATACACCGTTTATCCATCCATCCTCATGGACACTTGGGCTATTTCCACCTTTTGGTTACTGCGAATAATGCTCCATCCAACACTGGCACATGTTTGAGTTCTCACTTCTTCAGGGTATATACCCGGAAGTGGAAGTGCTGGGACAAACCCTAATTCTGTTTTTAACTTTCTGAGGAAACACCAGACTGTTTTCCACAGCGGCCATACCATTTTACACGCCCCAGCTCTATCGAGGGATTTACACACCTGGTTTTATACTTGTTTCCACTGATACACCAAAATCTTTCAAGTTTTCAGAGGTTTAACACGTCTCTGTAGGGCCTCTTCGATCTTGGACGTTTCTTCTCCTGTCCTGGCCCGCGCAACAATAGAGTCTCTTGGGCCCTCATCCCACCAGGTCGCCGCTGGGGTGGGGTCTGGAATTCGGCCCTCGCCCAGTCCCGCAAGGAACGAGAGTTCTTGGCGAAGAACGCGGCCAAAGCGCTCCAGGGCGGCGACCACCTACCGCAGCGCCCCCTTCACACGAGCGGTGAGTCCACTTCCCGGCGCTCCGTAGTGACGCGAGCCCCCAGCTCTGCGCATGCGTGACCCCGCCTCTCCAGCCGTTGCCAGGGCGACGGGCTCATCTCTTCTGCTCCCCCTCCCCGCGGCCCGGCAGTCGCCCAGGCCTCGCCTCAGTGCGCAGTCTCGGCACCTCCCCGCGCTCCGCCCAGCTCGCGGGGAAACGGTCGCGCGGCGATGACGTCGCGGGGGCCTGGCCGGGCGTCGCGGACTCTGGAGATGGAGGAAAAGGAGCAATTACGGCGGCAGATCCGTCTCCTGCAGGGTGGGTCAGGTCAGGTCGGGTCGGGCCCGGGTCGCGCGTCCCTTTCTTCCCCTTCTCTTCACAGCGGGCCCCTGCCCGCCTCCCCTAAGGGGGTGGCTTTCCGCCCGCGGTCTCGGCGGCTAGGTCCGGTCGGGTGGGGAGGTAGGTGGGGTCGGGCTGGGTCTAGGGGACCCGGAGGGGCGTCCCGACTGGCCTGGGTCACCTCCAGCTCGGGTTTCGACGGAGGGTGTGAGCGTTTCCGGCGCTGCGGCTGGTGGCGGCGGGGCGGTCGCTTAGTAACCGGCGGGCGGGAGGGGGCCCCCCCACCCCCACGCGCGGGCACGTACTCGGCTCCCCCTGGGCGCTCCCTCGCTCCCCGCGCCCGACAGTGGCAAAGCCCGCTCGGGGCCAGGTGTGTGTTTCTTCCCTGGACAGCCCGTTTTGACGCTCCTTCCGTCCGTACAGTCACACTCTCCGTGATATTCCCGGCCCAGACTCCCCAGTCTTCAGTTTCCAAACTTTTCCATTTTTAGACCTAATGTGGTTTGCTATACTTAAAAAAAAAAATTCCCCTTGTAAAGTTATTCCCACAAAGAGAAGACTTAAGGACTTGGAAAGTGTGTATGGGGGAGAGTTCAGGTGGGCTGAGCCCACCTTCCAGGCACTTCCTGGCCTTCCATCATATCTGCCCTGAGGTGTCACCAGGTCTGGACCTGGCTCTCTTTGGGCCTGGGGGCGGGACATATGGTGGGGGAGCGTTGTAACGGTGGGGCTTGTTGGCTGAGTTGTAACAGCTTGGGTTGTTTCAGCCGAGGCCTGTGCCCCACCTGCACGGGCACAGCTGTCCAGGGGCTTCCTTGGCAAGGCCCCGTGGCGGTCCACTGCACTGCGATTCCAGATGATTAGGCCTCTCCTCTCCTCAGGGGAGGATGGTGTGACATTCTTGTCAAGTGTGGAGTACCCAGGGGTGTCACTTACCTCACCCTCACTGCCTTGTGTGCCAGGCAGGGAGCTCATTAAGGTGCAGCCCTGCTCCCTTTCTATCTGTGGGCAAGCCAGAGGGCCTCCATGTCTCTTGAGGCATTACAGCATAGGGCCTTGCTGGTCTTTTCATACTGAGTGACACTTCTCAAAGGATTGTGAACCTAGCATGATATTCCTGGAGAATAGGGAATACGCCACAGGGAGACGTTTTAAGGATAAGCAACTAGAAATAGGATTGAAATAGAACTGACGGGAAAAGACTTATGGAGAAGATTGGCCTAGGGAATTTGGGCTGACTTTCAGTGGTTCTCACGCACTGGCAGCTGCCCCTCCTGCACTGGGACGTGACAGGATCCACCGGGGTCTGCGGGGTGTCTGGTCAGCTGATGCCCCTCCAGGGAATTCTCACTGATTTTACTCACCCTCCGGTTAATGGGGCTTGTGCTCCTGTCTCCTCAGGTCTGATCGATGACTACAAAAACCTCCATGGCAATGCCTCTGCCCCAGGCACCTCCGCCGCTTCCCAGTGGCAGCCGCCCGCTTACAGCAGCGGCAGGGCCTTCAGTGCTCGCTGCCCTCGTCTGAGCCGGAGGGGCTTCTCCCCGAACCATGGGCCCGTGTGGCGCAAGAAATACTCCCTTGTGAATCGGCCCTTGGGATCCTCGGACCCACCCGGCGACTGTGCTGCGCAACCGCCCCTTGGGGCTGGGGGCAGCCAGGGTCCCGAGCCCCAGCAGTACATCCTGGAGAGGCAGGTCCAGCTCAGTCCGGATCAGAACATGGTCATCAATGTCAAACCACCGTCAAAGCCGGGCTCAGCTGGCACTGCAGGGGTCCTGCGGGGCTCCTTGGAAGAATACGGGGATGCCCCCTGGAGCAACCACAGGCCTCAGGAAGGTGAGGGTGAGCTTCCCGGTGGGCAGCAGCAGCCCTCGAGGCCAGGAAGAGCTAAGGGGAGCTGCAGTGAGGAGGACCCCCTTCTGGTCTGCCAGAAGGAGCCTGGCAAGCCCCGGGTGGTGAAGTCGATGAGTACTGTGAGCAGCAGCCCCTCGGAGCCCCGGCGGATGGTCGGTGAGAGCGCAGTTGCGGCCAGGGCCCGCTTCCCGCCCTCCAGCCCGCCCCAGCGGGGCGGCACGGCCCTGGGCCGGAAGGTGGGCTCACAACCTGCGGCCAACTGCGGCACACAGCTCCTTGGGGACGGGAGAGCGAACGCCGGCCATGCAGATCAGTCAGCTGCCTCTGGCCTGGTGGCAGGCCCAGCTAGACCTGCTGCTGGACCCAGGCAGACCCGGGAGCCCTTGCTGCTGGTGTCCTGTCGAAGCAACAAGTTCCGGCAAAACAACTACAAATGGGTGGCTGCCTCGGTGAAGAGTCCCCGGGCCCCTCGGAGGGCCCTCAGTCCCAGAGCAGTGGCGGAGAATGTGTGCAAGGCCCCCTTTTCTGCAGCAGAACGAACGGAGAAGCCGCAGCTCAGAGGCGACCTGGATGCCAAGCCCAGGAGGTCGGCCGCAGCCTCCGTGCCTGGGGCCTCCCCGAGCAAGTACAAGTGGAAGGCCTCCAGCCCCTTGGCCTCCTCGGCCTCCTCCTTCCGTTGGCAGTCAGAGGCCGGCAGCAAGGACCATGCCTCCCAGCTCTCCCCAGTCCCATCTAGGTTCCCCCCAGGGGACAGACCAGCAGTGGGACCCAGCAGCTTGAAGCCCTTCTTCAGTGAGACCCCGCTCTCGGCTTACAAAGTGAAGAGCCGCACCAAGATCATCCGGAGGCGGGGGAGTGCTAGGTGTGTGTCCCTGCCCCGCCCCCGGCCCTGTCTGGCCAGGCAGGTTCCGCCTTGTATGCAGAGCAGGTGGGAGGGCCCGCCCGCAGGGTTGTGGGAGGTGGAGAGGAAGCATCACCCCTGACGGGGCCTGAGCGCAGAGCTTTGCCTGTGGTGGTGTCACCATAGTCAGTAGGAATGAAGCCAGGGTCACTGCTGTCTCTTACAGCTGAGTGACAGGGCTCAACCTGGCTGGGGGCTGGCCTGGGGCCCCCAGCCAGGTGGGGACAGGTGGAGGTGGTGGCAGCATCCCACCCTTTCTCCTGTGGGCAAGAGACCAGAGACTGCTGGGTGGTTTCTGTTCTGGGCCTGCAGGTTTTGTGCCCAGGCCAGGAGCAGGGCAAGCAAACCCAGGGCGCAGTGTCTCTGTGGGAGGGGGTCGCCTTTCCACCGGGGAGGAATGCTGCCCCTTGATGGCCGGGTGACAGGGTGAGTCACGGCCTCACTGAACCCATGTCACCTTCCCCGCCCTCTGTCCTCTCGGGTCTAGAGGAGGCTCGAGGACGGTGTCATGGCCCAGTGCTCCGTCTGGGGTCAGGGACTTAATTGTGGTGGCTGCCAGTGGCAAGGGCAGAGGGCCTGCCTCTGCCATCAGACGTGGTGACACTCGCTGACCTCCCAGCAAGTCCCACTCCAGAGGTCCTTCCTGCTGTCTGACCTGGTCTTGGGCCCTGCCCTCCCCGGTCGGTGCTGTCTTGGATTCCTCGGGTTCCTTGCCCTCCTCACTTTTTCTGTTTCCGCCAGTGTGGGGAGGGGGTCACCAGGCTGGTGGCAGCGCCTCCTCCGTACAAGACCTGCCTGCTTTTCTTCTCCTCCAGCTCCAGGCGGGGGCTCATCTGGCCTGGGGCGGTGCAGGAGGTGCTTGTGGAGCACTGGGTGGGGGTCGAGGCTGCTCTCCTGCGCTCTCCGCCTGCCTTGGCTCTGGGATCCTCCAGGGTTGTGGCTGCGAGCCTGGCCCTGGCGGGGAGGAGGAGGGGGTGGCGTGGGGGGATGGGTGGGGAGCAGCCTTCTGACGGCTGCTGAGGTTGGTTCCCTCCGGGGGCTGAGTCCATGTTGCTGGGATCTGGGCGGGCAGGGGTGGGAGGTGAGCCACTCGCTGGGGGAGCCTGTTAGGAGCCGTCTGTTCTTTGTCTCTGCAGCCTTCCTGGGGACAAGAAGAGCAGCCCCCCACCTGCTACCACGGCCAGGAGCCAGTTCAGCCTGCGGCGGAGGCAGGCCCTCCGGGGGAAGAGCAGCCCTGTGCTGAAGAAGACGCCCAACAAGGGCCTGATGCAGGTCAGCAGGCACCGGCTGTGCTGCCTGCCTCCTGGCCGGGCCCACCTCCCCACCAAGGAAGGTATGACCAGGAGGAGGGGCTCCCTGGGCCTGTGACGGCTCTGCTCCCTGTTGGAACCCACCTTCGCCGTCCACCTTGCATTGTGGGGCCCTGGCCCAGGAGCGCTCAGCCTGGCGGGCAGTGGGTGGCCTGGGCTAGTGAGTGGAGAAGGAGAAGAACCGGGGTACCGTGCCCTGCACTCTGGGTCGGAGAGATGCTTCCAGGCAGGCATGTGGTGGTCTATTCAGCACATCCCTCTGTGTATGTGCAGCCGAGTCCCTCTTGGCAGGAGGAGCGGGAAGGTAGATGAGAGGGTGGCAGCCCCGCAGCCCTGAAGTGGGAGGAGACGTGGCTTGTGCCGCCCAGGGCCTCTCCCTCCTTTCCTCACTGCCTGGGCCACAGGTCTACCCCTCCCCTCCCTGCTGGCGCTGCCTTTTCTTCGGGAAGCCTGAGCTGGCCTGGGAGGGGTCGGCTTTGCCCTCTTAATGAGTCCCTGGAATCCAGCAACAGAACGGGGAGTGCTGTGGGCGTGGCCCCCGCAGGAGGCTGGCTCCCCACTGCTGCGATGGCAGTGCTCTGGGGAGGCTGCAGAGCCAGGCTTCACCTGGGTGCCTGGTCCTGAGGTGGCCCCTCTGAGCGGCGGGGTGAACGTGCGGCAGCGGCTTCTAGACTGATCTGTATGAGATCTGGAGGTGACAGGGTTTGGGGCCGGGCAGGCTCGGCGCTGGGCGCTCCAGCCGGGGCCTCGTGCTCTAGAAACTGTGCTACGCTTGGTGCCTGGGGAGCCCAGCCGAGGGCGTGGTCCTTGGCCTGGCCGGGAGTCTTTGAAGAAGGCTTCTGGAGGAGCTGGTGCCTGGGCTGTGCTGAGCATCTGCGCCTAGCCGGCCGTGGGAGGGTGGGCCATGGGGTCCCAGGCAGAGGGTCGAGCGGGGCGGCGAGAGGGCTGTGGGGAAGTGAGGCTGGAGGGTGCCGGCCTCCCACCCATTCTCCTTTGGCCATATCCCGTGCGCCATGGCAAGTGTGGATTTCACGCCAGGTGACAGAGCAGAGGGAGCCCCGTTAGTGGTTCCTGGTTCCTGTGAGGTGGCTGGATTGGGGGGCGGGCCTTGGCTGCAGGACTGGCTGGGAGTGAAGAGGTTGAAGGTGACCAGCGGTTAGGCTACCGCGGGTTGACCGGAGAGGACGAGTTGAAGATGCCCCTCGCTTCGAGAGACTGGTGGCGGGGGCGCCCCCAGGGAGCTTGAGGGCAGGTGGGGGGTCAGGTGGCCTCTTGGGGCAGCTGGGGGAGAGGCCAGGAGGTGGTGTCTGTGGACATCTGGGCCTCTGTGGGGACTCATGGCCCCTGTTCAGATCCTCTCTGTCACGGTGTTGTCTTAGCCGGCCGAGATGTCGGGTGTGCAGAGAAGTTGCAGACAGATCTGTCCCCACAGATGAGGTGTCACGCGGGATGGCAGCGTGCAGGCCATGATGGTGGTGCTTAGGGCCGGCTGTGGGAAGTGGGCGGTCCAGGTGCTGGGGGTCCAGGAGACCCAAGGCAGGGGTGGTCCCTCCTGCCCTCTGGTGCCCGCATTCGAGCTGGCCAGCTGCTGAGACATTCCCATCGTGACTTGCCACTAGCAGGGTGTCGGGGCGACAGAGAGGGGGTGGCCAGGTAGGGCCCCTTGTGGAGGTAGTATTTCAGCGAGGCTTGACTGACGGACGTGGTTGGAGGTGGCTTGGGGGAGGAGTGTCCCAGCCGGGGCAGCGTGCTGGGAAGGCCCTAAGGCCCTGTCCTGCCTTCTTGGGCCCTTCCTGACAGCAGAGCTCTTGGGGGATCTGGCGCGCGTCTGCTGGGCGTCGGGCCCCCTTGCTGGGCCTGGAAGCAGGTGTGTGTGTGGAGCACCTGCTGTGCAGGTGTTGAGTGTGGCATGGTTGCGGCAGACAGGGCCCTGGGCCTCTTGGCGCCCTTCCTGCCACCCAGGGGTGCTGAGTCCTGATGCAGGTATGCACACTGGCCTTGACTCTGTCCCTGCCAGGCCTGTGCTGCCCCTGCCTCCAAGGAGTCTGGCCTGGGGGTCGACAGGCCCAAGGCAGGCTGCTGCTGGCCTGTGCAGTGGGCACCCCAGGGAAGGAGCGCCACGCGGTCTAGGAGTGGGCTGGGGACCCACGGACCGAGGGGCCCTCTGCGGATGGGTGGGCAGCAGTGGCATCGGGAGCTCTCCTCGCAGAGCCAAGCTTTCCCACCAGCCGGCCAGGTGGTCCTGGGTGCCCTCTCTCCCGGCTCCAGGCCGGGGGGCTCTGGTGCGGCTTGGGGGCTGGGGTGAGGGCTGCCCCAGGCACGGGAACAGCCTGGCAGCAGCCTTGCTGCAGGAACCACTGGCCAAGGGGCGGCCGGGGAGCTGGAGAGCTGGGTAGGGGCCTGTGGGCAGCGTCCCAGGGCCATGGGCCAGAGATGTTCTGGGATGCTCACCCGGTCGCGGGGTGGACAGAGGGGTGAGGGGCTGGTGGGGGCACAGACGCTGGGCCTGCAGATGCGGTAACCAGGCCAGGTGGGAGAGGAGGTGCCGTGTGTCGTCCCTGGAGCTGCACCTGCACTTGTGAATAGCCTGGCCCCTTTGTAGGCCTAGAGCAGAGTGGGGTACAGGCTGGGGACGGTGGTGGCTGCCGCCTGCTGGCAGGGCAGCCATGGTATTCGGTGGGAGGGGGAGAAAGGCTGAGGGCACCGCTGGGTGTGGGGCTGTCAGGTGGGGACTGTGGCACCTGCCAGTGGGGCTGCCACAGTCCCTGCCTTCACGCTCCTCTCCACTAGGAGGCAGATGAATCAGCTCATAGTTATAGACAGTGTGATAACCACGCACAGAATGCCCTGCAGGAGGGGAGAGGGTCCTGTTGGGGGAAGGGCTTGCAGAAGGCTTCCCCTCACTCAGCCACTTGTCCATCCCCCCATGCATCCTCTGTCCTCCACCCCCTCATCCCCTCCCCGTTTCCTGCACAGCTGTGCAGGGCAGTGTGCTGTCTCCTGGGGTGTGTGTGTGCTGGGGCCGTGCTGCATTGCTGGACACAAACGGCTCCTCGGGTGCTTGTAAACAGACTGAAAAGTTGCTTTCAAGGGGAATTCCTTGTCGGTCAAGTGGTTAGGACTCAGCGCTTCCACTGCTGGGGGCCCGGAGGGAACTAAGATCCCACAGGCTGCACAGCGCGGCCAAAAAAAAAAGAAAAGAAAAGTTGCTTTCAGGTGGCAGAAGCACTCTGAGGAAAAGGAGACAGGCAGCAGTGCTGCAGGGAGCTTCGGGGAGGGTGGGCGGCGGGGACGTCTCTGAGGAGTGACATCTGAACCGAGCCCTGCGTGAGGAGGGGCGCGTGGGCACACCTCTGCAGGCGAAGTCACAGGTAGGCTGAGCTTTGCCTGTTCCAGGAGCAGAGACTGGTCCTGTGTGGCCGGTGTCCTGGAGGGTGGGAGGGGCCGAGGCCAGAGGGCAGGCAGGACCAGGGATGGGAAGTGGTGCTCGGCCACAGCAAGGAAAAGGGGGTTCTGTTGGGAAGCCCCTGAGGGACAGTGGAGACACCTGGGCCTGCGTGGGTGTGCTCAGGGACACAAGGTGGCCGCGTCGGGGCCCCAGGAATGTCCAGCGGTCCCGGAGGGGCAGCAGCCAGGATGAGACTGCGGGTGAGGCAACTGAACTACAGGCCGAGGGGTGAGGTCCTCATCCTTGGGACCTGACGGCAGGGAGCTCACTGGAGAGGCTTGTGCTGGCGGAGGCGAGTGTGCTGGGCCGGCGTCGTGAGGCCGGGACAGGTGGAGGTCATTTCCCTGGGCTGACGGCTCCCCCAGCCCCCTCCTCTCGAAAGGCCTACCCGGCTTCCCGCTTCCCAGCTCTGCCTGCCCGCCCTCCCTTGGTGGGCCTGAGCAGGGTGTGTGTGTGTGTGTGCGCGCGCGTGCGTGCGTGCGCGTGTGCAGGGCATGCTCTCCCGTCTCTTGGAAAGTGCAGACCCCACCTACGGGCCACTGGCAGGGCCTCCCTGGGAATGGGGGCAGAGGCTGTCTCTGCATCTACTTGCTTTGAGGCTTCTTTGCCCTGTTTCCCACACAGACTTTTAGTGCCAGATGCAGCCCTCCGCTTGGAGCTGTGTCAGACCTGACCCCTTTGGGACGCCCTCGCTGCTGAGGCCAGGAGGGCTGAGGAGGGGGAGAGGGAGAGGTGGGCTTCCCCGGCTGGGGTCCCCACTTCAGGCCGGCTGTGCAGCCTGGTGGCCAGCAGAGGGCGCACTTGCCCCTCTTATTCTTCATCCACCTTTTTCTGGTAATTGATTGCCTAATTTCCTCTTTATGTGAAAGCAAGCAGATATCAAGTAATTTGCAGCAATAACCTGCTAGTGCTGGGCCAGTATCGAAACTCCCCTGTTCATTTCAAGTGGCAGATAAAACACTAATACGTAATTATCCTTGCAAATTGGATTGTTTTAAATAACCAAAAGGCTATGGCCAGGAGAAAGCGATCCCGTCTCCCTTGAGTTACTATTGCAGTGTAATTGCCGCGTTCAATCAATCTCCCTGGCATTAGAAATTCCATCACAATCAACATTAAGCTTTATTCATTGTGATGGCTAAGAGCCGGGCCATTTCTCCTCTTTTTCTTAACTAGCAAAATTAATCAGGGAAAAGATTTTAAACATTTACCCGTGCGAAAGAGGTCAGCTCTGCCACTGTATTGCTCAGCAGATAAGGGGGCTAATAAAAAGAAAATTGAATTACTAATGTCACCAGGAGCAGAGTATATAAAACCTGGCAATCGCCGGTCCAGGGGAAGGGAGAATCCATTTCCTCGGGACAAGGTGCGCTCATTTTTTATTTGGGCTCATACTATCAGCAGTTTAATTTGAGGGCGCGTAAACAGGAGGAAACAGTTAGGGAATAATGAGCCCGAGGTGTACAGTGCCGCCCGATATATGCTGCACACAGTTTATTTGACACAGCAGATAATCGCTTTAATTGAATTCGAAACTGCATGTTCAGCAGGCCTGTGGCCTCGTGCCTTGGGGAC